TTTTGTAAGCAGATTGAGGGTATTCAGGCAGTTGGCAAATTTGAATACAAACTCAAAACAGTTACTGTTACTGACATCTAATGTCTTTGGAAAATCTCTGGGGTTTTTAATGATTTTTTTTGTTCATGTTTCTCTTACCTCCTAAGCTTTCTAACTTTGTACCATGTCTCACCAAGGTCTGCTTTCATTGCCAGGATGTCACCTCTTGGAATGGTGATTTTAAATTCCTTTCCCAAGGCCTCCTTCAGCAGTGCCTCCCTCTCCAGTCTGCCCATTGCACGCAGTTCATCTTTCAATTGGGTACCAGCTGCACCACCACTGACAGCTGTCCTGGTCTCTGCTACTGCCTTTGATCTATTTCTAGCAGTTTTCATTGTTACCTCATCAGTTGTTTTCCTTGCCCTGGTCCTTTTCACTAATTCTAAGGGCTGAAAATGAATTGTTATCTTTTGTTTTGAAAATGAATGTCTTAATTTTTAACTTAAAAAAATATTTTATTACCTGGCCACCTGTTTTGAGGAGAATGGTTGCCCCATCCTGAGACTGTGAAAGGAACTGTCTAATGATGAACAATCCAACTTCCTCCTTTAGGGATGTATAAGCTTCCTTTGGGCTGGTTAGTAGTTGATCAGCTGTCAGTTGTTGTCTGCAGGTTGTATTTGTATCAGTGGTGGTTGTAGGTTCTGCTTGTACTGATGGTACATTTACCGGTGCTGGTCCCTTTTCCTCTGCTGCAGGTATGGGTTTCACTGGCGCAAGGAGGGATGATGTCACTGGAACTGATCTTTGTGAAGGGGTTAAGATGTGTGTGGGTGCTGTTGTAGGGCTTTGAATGCAACATTCTTGATGCTGAGGTAGTTGGTGAAGTTTTACTGTGTGTTTACAGGTAGGACATCGAAAATCTAACTCTGAAAGTATGGTGCGAAGAACAAAAGGGGCTGGCTCAATGAACTCATTAGGATTTACAATGACAGTTCAGCACATTGGGCAAAGGGATCCACACATTTCGAAAGAAAATGATAAGCAACTAGCACAAAATATGTGTGGAGTTCGACATTTTGTCTG